AATGTCATCCATGGCTGGAGAGGGTGGACGAGGGGCCGGGGGACGTCACGGTCACACTCTGCCGGCACTGCCCCAGCGAGCCCGGCTCATATAGGGGGCTGCCCCCCCCCGGGGGATGTGACCAGCCCACTGGCAGCCCCGCACGCCCATCCCCATCCCATCCCCATCCCCACAGGAATGCCTCGCCTGCGTGCCTTGGGATGGGGACACTGCCGAGCCCGAGGCTGCCACGTCCAGGGCCAGCCCCAGTCCCGCGTCGGGGCAGCCGGAGGTTTCCTTGTGACTTTGATGTGGGAACGAGCGAGCCCTCTCAGCTGGGTTTCAGCAGGATCTCTGCTGATATGTCATGGTATTTGGCTGTCCTGACTGGACATGTGCCACCATGTCACCTCCACCTCTCCTGTGTGTCGTCCCCCCCCCCGGAAGCTGCGTTAGAAAGATTATACTGTACCTAATTAAATTGGGTAATACGGGAAAGGCATGCCTCCCAAAATATCCCTTTCCAGTAGCCAGTGTCCCCTGGGGGCAGTGGGAATAGGGGGTGTTGGGGCCTCCCTGTCCCCTCTGCCGGCTGTCCCCAAACCCAGGGGGGACATGCGGCCGGGGCCAGTGCCCTCGGAGGAGCCGATGCCATGTGTGTGCAGGCACCAAGGACGGGAATGTGCAGTCCCAATGCTGCAGCAAGAAGTGTGGAGGCAGATGGAGCTTTGCCTCCATTTTCTAAATTTAGCTGGGGCTACAAAATAGGGGGGGGCTGGGGGTTGGCTATCAGCTGTGCTTGATTTCAGGGAAATTCCCAGTCCTTTAGGAAACCAGGACTCACTTCTTCACCCAACCAGCAAGCTGACCTGTCCCCACTGCAAACAGGCAAAATCCACGCTTCTGGATTCGTTGTGGATTTACCCCACCATGGTGGAGAGCAAAACACACCAAAGGCCTCCAAGTGATGACCAGCGTTTTCTCAGTGCAGGGAAAAGCATTTTAATCCACAGCAACCAAAGCAAAACCTCTCTTTTTGGTGATTCAGGACTCCCTCTTGTGTCCAAAGGAGCTACGGGTGGCTCTGGCATCCCAGGGTGATGAAGTCTCGCCTCCAGCTAGCTCATATATTGGTGTGAGTTAGCAAAACTGAAAATATGATGAATACAGCTGTTAGGTTTCATCTCTTCTAAAAATCCTTTATCCCTTCAATAGAAAGCAAGTTGCATGAAAAAACTGCCACCCCTATGTAACACCTAGCCAAAGTGGCATTAGCCAGAGACCCGGGGTGGTGTCAGCACAAAGCGAGGGTGCAGGTAAGCGCAGAGCCATGTCCCCACACCACGTCCTCCCAGGTTTTGCAGTCCCAAAAGATTTACTTGCTGCAGAGCCTGTCAGGAACTGTGGTCCTGCGGGCTCCCGCTGGCCTTCATTTACCCAGGCTTCAGCTGGGCTCTGCCTCTTCTCAGCATGGGGATGGCAGATGTAATAAAAAGGAAAATAGTTGCATTTAAGGAATTAATTTTTGAAGGATGTTAGTGTTCAGAATTGGAACATATTGATATTTTGGTTGCCTTAAACATAGAAAAGGCAGAAAAAGCTGCAAAGGGAAGTAGTTATTTTGCTAAAGGACATCGGAGCCTGTCCTTAGGTGAGGGCCCAGGTTGGAACGGGGGACCTGCTGTCCCCCACCACTGAACCATCACCCAAACCCTCCTGGGCACCCCCATGGAGATGTCCCCAATGAAGTGTTGCCCTGAGGCAAACCCCAGCCCCGGGCTGCTTTCCCCCCCCTCGGGATTCCCTGCGGAGCTGGCAGGTGGCAGGTGGCCGCAGCCACTGCCAGGCACCGCGGCAGAGGGCAAGGAATCGCGCCTGGCCCTGGCCCTCCATCCCGGGAGGCGACGGCTCTGAGTCATTCCCCTGAAAACAGCCCCTGGGATGCGTCAGAATATATCAAGGGCCAACGCACAGCGGGAGCGGGAGCTCTAACATTGCCTTCAAAGGGTCACGGCCATGCTCCTGGAGCAGCTGGGATGAAATCCAGGTGGGGATGTGGAAGAAGGGTCTCTGTCTGCTTAGAGAGGGGAAATCTGGGCTGCTGCCACCATGCATGCTGACATGGGAAAGCTGCGCTTCTGCAAATGCCTGATGCAAACAGGGACTTAAAAAACACAGGTGTGCCTAAAGGGGAAGGATGAAATCCGTCTGGCAGCAAGAGGTGATATTCCTCCCAGGGAGGGAGGCGCAGGCGAGGGGCATCTTGCCAACTCCTGCCTCCCCGCTTGCTGCTTGGAGCCAAAGCTTCCAGCATCCCCTGGCTCGCTGGAGCCGTTTGCTTATAAAAGTATCGGGAATTGGGGTTTTGTAGAGAAACCCAGAGCCTCTGCCATGCAAAGTGCAGGGGCAGGATGCTGCGGCAGGTATGGGGGTGTCCCGGGGAAAACCATCCGCTCCTGCTGCTTCTCTTGCCTCCCTGCACAAGACTCACAGCAGAGATGGAGTGCAGCTATCTATAGCCTGAGGCGGGCTGCCAACACAACTGCCCTTAATCCCAGAGCATGGCTGGCTCCGTGGCACACCAGCTGCCACTGCACTTAGGTACGGTGCGTTAGCTCGGGCTTCAGCAGCATCCTGGCATGCCGTTGCACTTGTCAGTCGATCCAAGGTACCAAGACAGGCAGAAGGGTTTCTTGCACTTTTTTGTCCAAAATCTCGTTTCGGGTTTTCCTTTCCAGGCAGCTGCAACCCACTGCAAAACAAGCAGAGGCATCCTTCAGGTCAAATATGAGAAAATAAAAAGCAGAAGCCCAATTAAGTTGCAACTTCATTTGAGGTCAGGGCTGTTTGCAAGGCTCCTTGGGCAGTCTGTTATGGCTCCAAACCACAGTAAAACTCTCCAGTGTCCCCCTTCCCTGCGCAGGGCATCTGGCCCTGAACAGGGCCAGACCCACCAACATCGAAGCTCTTTAATTTACTGCTACCTAAATCCTCCTCAGAGCGTTTTAGCTGAACGAGCCCCTGGTTGCCCGCTTCCCCAGCTGCATTGCTCCTGTCGAAGCATCTTCTCCGAGAGCCAGGACACGCTGTCACACCACGAGCCAACTCAGCGCCCACAGGCAGAAACTGCTTTAAGAAGAGGAGGGTACCTATCAGAACTGACAGATGTGCGAGTGCTGCAAATTGTTATTTAATTAAGGAGACGGGACATTCAGAGGAAGCTTAATTAAAGTTGCTCTCCAAAACCACTTATTAGCTCATCAAGACACTGAGCTCAGCACCAGCTCCTGCTGAAAATCCCTCTAGGGCTGCCTTTACTATACGTGTTTTCTCCTTACACACATCATCCTTTGGCTAAGTCCTGACCAAGGAAAAGCATTTTGCAGTGAAAATAAAATCAAAATGGGTTTATCCAGCTCCATTTGCAGAGTTGTGTTCACTTATCTGCTGCCCTGGTCCTGGTTGCATCTGCCAGATGCCAGCATTGCCCCCTGTAGCATTGCTCCCTCTGCACCGCAGCTCCCTTCTGCCGAGGAAATACTTTCTGTCCAGACAAATTTAAAAGCCACAGCTGCACCCAGGTCATTTCGCACTTCTGCTATTATTAATGACGCTATGCCGGAGCTAATTGCGTTCTCCCTTAGGTAGCACAAGGTAGGACAGAGGTGACCTTCATTTTGCTGGAAGGTGCTTTTTTACCCAAACCTCCTGTGACTCCCCCCCGGGGCAACTCAGGTTTACAGGGAAAAGGCCAATGAGGATTTGCTCACCATCCTTTAAGATTCTCCGCTTATGTTACAAATTCCTGGCAAGATCCCTTTAGTGTGCGCAGATTTGAAACACCTCCCCGTGCTCAGTGGGACAGTGCGCTGAGGGAAGCAAAGTTCGTAACGTCAGTGAAGTCACCCCAAACAACACCCCGAGTTCACTCTGGGCTCATCCCTGAAGCCCTGGGCCGAGTCCATGCAGGTCTGGCCCATCAGTCCAGCTCCTCAGCTCTGTATTGGTGGTGGCAACAGGCACGTTGGTCACAGAACCACTGCAGCGGTGCCTTGGCCCAGGGTGACAGTGTTCAAGCCTTCAGCAGCACATGGCGGCCACGGATCTCCACCAAGGGCTGTTTGCAGCAGGGAGAGGCTTCGGCCTGCTGCCAGCACTGCTTCCAGATGCAGATGCTCACGAACGCGGCCACGCCACTGTGAGGAAGATCAGCCCTCTGCAGGCAGGGCCTGGCTTTGCCCTCTGCAGTTCAATCTCAATGCCCCGTGCTAGTATGCACCTGCGTTGCACCTTCCTTCGTTGCCAGATCTGCACCGTGCGCGTTGCGCACCCCAGTCTGTAGCTGCCTTCAGCCAGCTTGGGCAGGGCTGAACCTCCCTGAGCTGCCTGCATTGCAGTGCGCCGCACAGCCTAGTACTGTGCAGCATGGTATTTCCCAGCACTACGCTGTACAGCACAGCACGGCACAGGCACTGCACTGCATCGCACAGCACCGCAGGGCAAAGCGCTGTGTTGCACTGCACAGCCCTGAAGAGCATTGCGCTACGCTGCACAGCCCTGCGTTGCGTTGCACAAGGCTGCGTTGCCCAGCGCGGCAGTGCACAGCCCTGCTGAGCGTGGCACTACATTGCACAGCCCTGCGGTGCATTGCAGAAGTCTGCGCTGCCCAGCGCAGCAGCAGACAGCCCTGAAGAGCATGGCACTACGCTGCACAGCCCTGCGCTGCATTGCACAAGGCTGCGCTGCCCAGCGCAGCGGCAGACAGCCCTGAAGAGCACTGCACTACATTGCACAGCCCTCCGCTGCATTGCACAAGGCTGCGGTGCCTGCGCTACACCCCGCAGCCGTGCAGCGCGGTACGCTGCCCGAGGCTGCCGCTGGGCGAGGCAGCACGCATGCGCGGCCCCCACCCCCTAAGCCCCGCCTCGATGGGCCGTAGCCCCGCCTCTCCCAGCGGCAAGCCCCGCCCCCAGCGGCAGGCCCCGCCTCCTCCGCCGGCGGCGGC